GAATGAAACGTGAATGCAATGATTTCATCGGTGATATTTCGAGCAAAAGTTTATGTTAATTTAATTTAAAACACATGGAAAAAAAATGGAAACACTGATTTGCATGTTCAGGGAGTAGTGAGATTTCACATATGAAACATAGCTCTGAAAAATCGACGAAAACTATTCGGCGCAGGGCCAAACGACTCTGTGCAACAAAAATCCGCCGTCAATGACATGAATCGAATGTTTTTCATCAATTACCTCTCCTGATGGGCTTAACCCACCGTAAAGTGAAGATTTTGTGTTTTTACGCATGCCCTCTTCTGTGAGAAGAGACAGCGGGAACGGTGACAGCTCATATGACAAAAACGTTGCAAGTTCCTCATCCGACTTTTTAGCAATGCGAATTCTTCGGTAAATCAAATGAGGCTCGACAGGAATAATATCATCTTGAAAATATACGGCTGACTTGGCTCCTTGGCTCCTGGCTTCGAATCAGCTCTGGTGGTGGGTGAAGACATAGATTTGCTGGTGTTGCTAATTGCGCATAGCAAAGAGGTACCAAATGTATTTTTCATGAAGACAGCTAGGGGTAATAAGCCCCAAGTCTTGTACAACCGAGAAAGTGTTGGCGATTAAATAATTTCGGATAATATTCGTTTAATTCACGCTTCCACTGGGAGTGATACTACCTCGGGAATTTTTAATCAAGGAAAAGTCAAATTATTGAATATTTTAAAAAAAAATCACGATTTAATCAAATCTGCAGAGGAATTTAATGACTCGAAATCAACACGTGAAATCATTTCTGCTGCAGGCCAGAGGTTGTTTCTTGCACTTTACGGCCAGAAAGACATTGAGAAAGTTTCTCTAAATAGGTACAGATACGGCTGCTTTATAAAATATTCATTTCAAAATAAACAGAATCTTGGGTCTTTGCAGCAGGCTGCAGCAGAGCATGCATCCCGAACTTATTTGCAGGTCCAGGAGTGGCAGGGTGAGAAAAAGGATCCCTGCAATTGCGGCTGGAAAGCCACCAAAAATGGGCTAACGCCTATAACAACTTTGGATCCACCAGCTCCCGAAAATATTTTAAAGCTAATTGCCTGCAAGTGCAAGAAAGGTTGCCGCAAGACTTGTGGGTGCCGTAAAAATGGCTTACGATGCACCATTCTCTGTCAGATGTGCAATCAATCCTGCGATAATTTTCAAATGGAAGATACCCTACAAGGAGAGGAAGAGGACGTCGATGAACCGGAAATTATGACATTCTTAGATGATAATCAGGATTGTGAATCTGGCTCATCTACGCAATCAACGCCAGTACCTGGTCAAAAATCTGAAACAGACAGTGAGTATGACGA